AATTTTCTTACAGCTATAGTCTAACCAACCGACCCTACATGTTTACAATTAAATTACATTAAAATTCGAGAAAACAACAAAAAAAGACTTCAAACTTTCAAAAAAATAAATAAATTAATTTGTGTTTGAGCAGAAAAATGTTCAAACTTTCAAATATTTGTCATTTTAATTCTCATTTTTCATTGACTCGGCCATTTTAGAAACTTGAAAAAGCCAAACAGCTAAGCGAAATGCCGATGTTTTGCATCTATAAACATTTAAATCATCACTTTTTCACAAAACCACGGTTCCAAATTAAAAATCATAGATTTTCTAATTCCCTAATCCTTAATTCTATAATCTCCAAAATCTAAAGCCACTGACGACACAGAAAATGGCTAGAATGATGGGTTAGTTCAGGTTCATCATACTGAGAGACTTGAACTAGAAGGCTAAGTTTGGATTAGAAGGCTGTAAGGGAAAGATGATCTCAGATTATGGAAACATGGGGAAGATAGTTATAAGGCTAAGTTTAGCACCAAATTGATTTGAAATTTGACACGAACATAGCATCCAAAAGTGGACTGGTGGTTCCCATACAACACTCAGAAGTACTCTTTCATTACATGGTTGCCATAAAAAAATAAACTCTCGACCCGTGATCGAATTTCGCTTTGGAACACGGGAGCCTCAACCACTTGCAAGCTCTGTCTGGCTATGACTGAAACCCATAACCATTTATTCTATGAATGCTCTTACTCAAAGGAAATCTGGCGGAACTTAACTCATAAAACGCTGTATGTGCATTACATAAGCGAACGAGATGGGATCATTCGCCTACTTAATGAACAGACAAGAAACAATGTCGAAAGATTTATTCTCACATATGTGTTTCAGACAGCTCTATACTCCATATTGCTCCAGCTAGATTGAAGAAGACACGGTAAGGACCCAAACTCCCCGTCGGTTCTCATCAAAGTGATTGACAAACAAGTCAAAAATATAATATAGCATGAAGGCAATGGATGTTCTAGCCTATAAGAAAGACCATGGAAACATAGTTTTCTTTTATATGAGAAAAAAATTTCTATTCAAATTCTTTTCTAAGAAGTTCTTAAGCAAGAGTAAATTATATTATAAAAAAAGTTCTCTGGTTGAATACTTTTAATATTTATTCAAAAAACAACACTTATACGAAAACAGGGAAAATGCAATCTTGTGAATCTATAAATTTGCTCGAATTGTTAACTAGCGATAATAATATATCTATGCTATTAAAGAAGAATCCCTTATAGGATTCTGCCATTAGTTTTTGAGTTATTTACAAAAAAATGCCATTAACATTTAAACTAAAAAAGAATATTCCCTATATTTGTGTTAAGTAATACTTTCCATATTTTATGAAAGATAATAATTATATTTTCTCTGCAATGATTTTCTCTATTTAATTTGAATATCATTTTTTGTGTGCATAATATTATTTAACGTTCAAATATGAATATATACATGAAAGTCATTTTAAAAATTATATACCGTGTCATTTGTACATAATATTTACATTCCAGTTCCGCGTACTCAAAAATACTTTAAAACTTATGATAGGATTAAATATTAGATATAAAAATAAAAATTTATCATAGCTTATTAATAACGAAAGAAACTATTGTCATATCAATAGTTTTTTTTCTGTTACCATTTTTCAATTTCTGTGAATGATATAATACAATTTTCATCAAATTTTTAAGAATTACAAGTTTTTTAATTTTATATAATATTCAAACGTATGAGTTATTTAATCAAAAATTTTGAACTATAACCAGATTTTTGGATTTTTAACAGATCATCAGATATCGGATCATGGATTAATTACGGATTTTTTTAGATTTTTATTGGATTTTATCGGATTGTTAGTTAACAAATGTTGCTAGATCTATTGGTTTAAACATGGGTCGAAGTTTGATATAACTACACTACTTAAAAATCAAACCTTATAAATTGTAATAGAACAGTTTGTTATAAAATATTAATAAAATAATTTTTAAATTTATTATTTTCTAATTCATGTTATAAATTAAATCAATTTTATTAGAATTTTTAAAATATTCCCGCGCTTTTAAAGCGCGGGTCAAATCTAGTTTATATTAGTAAAACTAAAGTATCTTTTGTAATTACAACTCATGCCACTGTATTTAATAATTATTAACAATTAAATATAAATTGTTCTATTTTAGATTATTCTCTAATCAAACTTACTATTATTCTCTAACTAAATTACCATTGTTCTTTAATCGGCATATTATCTAATCAATTTTTACAATAAAATTAAACAGATTTATTTAAAATGAGACATACAAAATTTAAATATTAAATATTCATATATATTAGTATTTCATTTCACATATAAAATATAAACTATTTTTTTTATTAAAACATATAAAGTTATGTTCAGATATATGATAAATATTTGATGATTACTATTATTCACACATATTTATTTGTATTATAAAAATACAATAACTAAATTTTAATTTGATATTTTCCTTAAAAATAAACATAGAAGGAAATTTATTTGGATTATTAAAAACTTAAAGACATACTATTTATTTTATTAAAATAGAAGTGAATTGTAACTGACACAAAAATATTATTTTGGAAAAAAAGATTTTTTAATAGCATAGTAATTGGTGTTTTATTTATAAATAAATACATCAAAAATAGTTAATGCAATTAAAACTAACTAATTGGCGAATGTGTTATATCCCCTATATATTAAAGGAGAAGCATTTGTATAATGCGTTCACACAATTTTCTGAATATGCTGACGTGGCATCCTAACAATCGTTTAACAATTAATATGTTCATACCCTAATTTTTTTAACTACACTGCAGACGCTTTAATGTGTTCGCATTTTTTTTTCAATCAGCGCATTTTTAGTTCATTCATTTTTAACATTTATAATAGTGAACTGAAACTAATTAAAATTCTCTTTGTACAACTACTGACTTATATCATTTTAAAAGAAACAAAAAAAGAATTATTAAGATTCACATCAACTAAAACGCTGGAATGAGAAGGTTCTTAAGAAATGAAAATTTCATATCTTGCCGAACTTTGTTATGGTTGAGGTTTTTGTTCTCGAAAGCAAAAAATAACTGTGATTGACTATGAATTAAGAAAACTTAAATAAAAAAACACTACACACGAAGTTGAATCAATAGTTTAGCCAAGTATTGATTTTCTTTACGAAGTTTTCATATCATACCAAGAATTCGAAACATAATAATATTACTAGAAAAAATAAAAAATCAAAAAAGTTTTAAAAGGAATAAAATTTGTGATATCGATTGACAACATAATTGAGGTGGCGAGTGAAGAGATAACATTATTTTACACGTAACTCTAGCCCCTTTCGCTCGATTGTATAGTGTTTCACTATAATTTCCCGGAATTTTTTATAAATACACGTTATTAGTTATAACCTACATCAACTTTGCAACATATCCAACAATATTGACACGACGTCTAACATTTTTTTATTCTTAAAATATAGTTTAGTAATTATGAATGTTAACTAAGCCATGATATTTGTTTTACATTTATTTTCCTTTATATTAGTAGAAGAAAGTGAGTATGGGTAAATATATGGATCCAATAACCTGAACTGAACTAGATTTGAAAGTAATGTTATACACAAAACTAAAACTAATTAAGTAATCAAATGAATCTAAAATTTTAATATCCAGATAACCAGACTCGATTCTAATACAAACTAAACTATTTTAGATTTCAAAATATCTAATTTCATAATTATATACTTAAATATATTAATTATTTTAAATTTTATATCTATAAGATAATCAAAAATATGAAACTATCTAAAAATTATAAATATAATCACAAGTAAATATCTAAAAATAACAGTAAATGTTCAAAATACTGATAATATTTATTTGTTCTTATCCAAATATTTAATTTGAACTAAATTTTATGAAATTTAAATATTTAGTCCTATATTATTCAAATTTTTATTTTTTACATTATTTTATTTTGGATTTTAAGGACTTAAGTATATTTTATTTTTTGTTGAAAATATGTAATTAAAATGGACATCCGGATTCGAATCTAAATTGAACCCGAAATGATTTTAACCAAATATAAATTAAAATTTGTAAATATTCGAATAAGATTTAAATTTCTAACTCTAAAAATTCAAAAACTGAATCCGAATAGATATATGAATACTCATATCTAAATGTTATACGTAAATCTATAAATACAATGTACAATATATAATCTATAAACTATTTCACTCTGCGCACATCCAACGCATGTTACTACCTAGAGCATATTATTTTGAATGATTTAGTATCCAATCACAATATACAATATGAATATGAGCAACTAACAAATTACATAAAATTAAAAGATGTCGATATATCATAAATATCATATACTGCAAATAGAAAATAATTACTTGTATGAATACATGTTTTTACAATCATAACATTATTGAGAATTCGATTATTAATTATTAAAATAAACATATGTACAGATGAACGGATCAAGTCTAGGAGTCTTTATTATGGTGGCTCTATTCTATATTTATGAGAAGGTCAAAACTCAAAAAAGTATTTTAAAATTTCCAGTCTTAATTGTTGTGCAATGATCCATCACTCTTATTTTGGTCAAAACTAAAGACAAATGGGAAACAAAATGGAACAGAAAATTCGGTATTCACATGCTGCAATCATTATGTTCTTTACTTTCTTTATTTCTACAAGGCGCGCAAGTCTTACGGGTTCCTATCTCCATTGGCATTGACCAAACTTTAAATCTGTAATGCAACAACAACTTTCCCAAACATCCCCTCCAAACACTTTCAACGGCTTCCCCTTTTCATAACCAACCGATTTTATCAATCTCACAAATTTATAAATCTCATAAAAACATGAATTTGTTACGTTCAAATCTGCTTGTTCGCATTAATAACCAAATGCATACTGTGCAACCATTACACCATTCTAAGCCTGATTCGTATTGTTTGTTGTTGTTATCTAGTGTTTGAAACATTGCCATCAAATCTCGTGTTAATGCGATCGAGATACAAGTACAACACGACAAATAGTTCATACATATACGATTAAAGAGATGAAAAAGAGAGGAATAAATAAAATGGGAAACTTACAAATCTATGTGAAGAATGAAAAAAAAAAGATAAAAAAGACGTTTAAGGAGAAGCAGAGTGGTGTCGATCAAAGTGGAGAAGCTGAGCTGCACATTTAGGGCAATCTTTCAAGAGTTTGGGTACCATGTAATACATATAACAAGCTTTGCAGCCAGCTACCACAAGAACTTCATTCTCTTCTTTGTGATTCTCTAACGATGACTCTGATGAAGATTCTTCACTTTCATAATACGAGGTATCTTCTTCTGAAACCACAGTTACGTCAGATTCTCCACTGAAATCATCATATGCATTGTTGTTGTTGTTGTCTTTCGTCAGTCTCATTCCGGTGTTCCGGTTTATGTAGTAAACCTCTCCTGTCTAAACATAAAATAAACCTACAGATTTTAATCCAAAAGTAATTAAAAAACTTAAAACGACTCTGATGCTAATTAAGACTAATAGCTTAATCCCCAGTAGTAAAAATTTTGTTTTATTAGTGTCAGAAAGAACAAAGAGGAAACATAATGATTCTGCATTCTTTCTTTCTTTGCAATGCACAAAAAAATGCACCCAAGTCCGTCGACAAAACAAATGTCGACTAGATTTTCGTTTGTAATTTCTCTATATGTATATGGTTTCTTGTGATATACAAGAGAACATTTTTTTGTCCACTAAAGAAAATCATCCTTGCAGATGGTTCTCAAAAAGTAAAAAAAAAAAGAGCCTTGAAACTTTCCAAGTGAATTTCTTCGACAAAGAAAATTTCAGTTAGGGTTTATATTTTTGCTAATGAAATATTGATTGGAAGTTGGAACCGAACTCTGTGAGCATTTACAGACAAGGGTTGAAGCAATAAATACAACACAAACAAACAGAAAAAAAAACAAGGGAACAAAAGAAGTTATTTGTCATACCACAAAACAAACAAATGAACAATCCTCAAATTCAGAAGTTTCTCCCGATCATTATATATTCACATCAGGAAAAAAAACAGAAGAAAAGTAATCTGATTTTGTTGCCTTTTTTTTTTTTTACCTTGAGATCAAGACACCGTTGCAAATGACAAGGAACAGAGATGTGAGAATTTATCTCTAACGTTCTATCTGAGATCGGGAGACCATCTTCGAAACTCCTTGTCTGGTTACTCAATGAACAATTTTGCATCGATCCCTCCAGATATTTCGTCACCGTCGCCATATCAAATGTCGCCATTTCTCCTTTGTATTCTTCGATCGAACTCACCAGAATGTTTCAAAGGCAGAGGAGAAAGGAGGAAGAATCAACTAAAGAAGAAAGATTTGAAATGATTTTAAGGTAGAAAACAAAAACGAAGCAATACTCATTTAATTAAGGAAGGGTAAAGAATTTAAGGGCAATTTCGGGATTTCTATTAAGGAATTGGTCCACGCATCGTATGGGTTAGAGCGCGTGGGAATTTTTGGGCAAAGAAAAAGCTGGAGGCCGTAGCTGTCAGGCGCACAATGCCTCGCATTTTGTCGCACATCCAATGTAAAACGAACATTCGACTACTTTCTCCACGGGCGTGACATTCTGATAGTCATCATGGTTTCGGTTAGTGGCCAGTTTAACTAAAATTATCTTACTTTAAATCAAATGGCACATTTTTTTTCAGTATCTCTATGTTCCTAATAAGTACCCAAAATCCAGATATAATATTTAAAAACTGAACCAAATCATTTTGAAAGTCTTCTAAGATCTTAATTTGGTATGAACAAGAAAGAGAACGTAAGAGACTACGACTAAAAATCAATGATACTCCAAGCTCAAGAGTTTTACTCTAATCTTATGTTTTATTGAGGGTTGTAGTTGAATCTGATCATGCACTTCAGATCATTTTACCATGTGATTGATTACCTAGTACAAATACAGATCAAATTCTTGTTCAAAAGTGAAAAAACCAGCACGACAAAAAGCAGAACACAACACCTGTTCAGAGAACCGAACCTGGAAAGACCCATAACAAGTTTAACAATTGAAGCATTTCTAAGGAGATGATTGATGGGTACGAGAGACATTATAGCAACTGATAGAATATGAAGTGGAGGAAGGAAGATTTAGTCGTCTGTGTAATTGACAGCGAGGTCCCAGTAGTGAGCGACACCAGCATCCGTGAAAACTTTCTTGGCAGCAGATTCCGTTAAGCACTCTTGTACAAGAAACCTATGAAAACTCGGTTTAGCAACGCTTCCTTGCCAAACCAACCAGCACTTGTTGTTCCCACCATTCTCCTCTTCGTCTTCATCTCCTTCCTCGTCTTCTTTCTCATCTTTCTTCACCGCCTCCTCCCAGTTTATCCTCCTCAGCATCAGCTTCCCGTATCTCTTTATCGCTTTGCTCTTTCCCTCCACAACCACCACACTCATTTCATCTGTCATCACGCTACACCCGGTTAATCTGTTCTCCCTAGCATTCATTTCCACCTTGAATCTCGTCTTAGGATGAGAGAGCTTGTTGATCTTGTACACCGACACTATAGTCTCGATCGTTGTTGGATCGTCGAAAAGCTTCCTCTCTTTCTTCTCACGCTTCTCTGCAGGTGTTAGCTTCCTTGCTGCGTTCCTGTCCGTGTGAGCCTGTTCACGTTCGGCTGCTGCTGTGCGGATCTCCTTCTCAAGCTTGGTTGGGTCTTGTGTTGCTTCAGACCCAAGAACCTTCATCAGATTGCTCATTTTCACCTTTGGTTTTGGTGGTTCAAGCAACCCTTGTCTGATCATCTCCTGTTTCTCCTTTTCTTTTGCCAGACGCCTCTGGGTTCGAAGTTTCTTCTGTTCCCTCTTAGTCAGTTTGAGAGGCTGGGGTGGTGGAGGCGCTGCCTCTGCAGGTGGCTCTATGGGACGGGGATGCTCTATGTAATGTGTGAGTTTTTCTGTCTTCAGATCGCTATCGGTAATAGTACCATCAGCTATGTCGCCATACACGCCATTTGTGAGGACAGCTGCATCCCTGAAAGTTAAACAAAACTACGAGCTAAGAAAACACATTATGAACGTACACAAAAAACTAAGACCAAACCAGCACGGCACAAAGCCACCGGGTTAACTGGTTGGTCTGCATCTAAGACAGGTAATTACGTGGTTCACAATAATAAGATGATTCACTATTACCATACTCTAATACTAGTAATCACCCTGGTGCTGATTACAAAATAATACAAGCTATCAAAAGCAATATGCAGCAAACTAATGAGCACACTAAGCCAACAGTTGCAATATTAAGTATCCATATCCAGACGAAAAAAATGGGAGAATAATTCTAATAGAAACGATAACACTAAACCAACAAGAACCGTAGCTACAGTTATGGTTATTGTAGTATGACTTTCATCCAATGCCCTAGAACTTGGAAGTTTAGTTTGATAATTGTAGTATAACTTTTTCTCCTCAAGGTTATGCCATGTTTTCCGTCATCAGATGAACATTCGAAACAAAAAGTCTCAGCATCAACAAAAATGTGAAGTGGGAAGAATTACGTACCACCACTCAACATCTGGGATTATCTCCTTGGGTTTCTCTTTTCTTGGGGCACGTTCTGATACCTCTATCAAATTTGGATTTATATCATCCCTGGCCTTAGCCAGATGCGCTTGCTTCACCTTCAGCTCTCTTGCTTTTGCTTCACCAAATTGACTCTACAAAGCAAATATCAAAATAACACACTGAAACATCAGTAAAGGCCACCAAGAATGAAATGGTTAAAGAGAATCCATCATAGAAAAAAAGTAAAGCATACCTTCAACTTCAAACTCTCAGCATCTCTTGTCCATTTACCTTCCTCAACAAACTGAAAACTCATACGCTTGGGTCTCAAAATCTTGTTTTTATCAATACCCATCCTTGGATCAAAATGGGGGTTTTCTTCTGGGTTTACTTCCAGTTGAGGTTTAAGAATCTGAAAAGCATCTTTCTTCTGTTTGTTGATGTTAACCTGTAGATATCCAAGTATATTAGGAGCTTCGATGATTAAAATAATAGAAAACTTAGATATTTAAATCAACTTTACTGACCTTTAAAGTACTAAGATTGCTTGGCTTAGACACACTAATCACATTTCCATGTTCATCTATCTCCCTTCCAAATGCATCCACACGCAGAACAGGAGCCTTGGCAGGTTTCTGTTGAATAGCCATCGTGTCTGTAGGTGTCTGTCCAAGAAGATAATTGATAATGGTAGGAAACTCTGGATCCTGACGGTATCCCATCCTAGCTGCCACCTCCTGAGCTCTCTTAACAGCTTCAATGTTGACCTTATTGTCAAGGCCGGGGATGGCAGCATGCGGCAGTGCTGAAGCAGACGCTGTTCCCGCAGAGACAGCAGGAGTGGTAGTCGATGGTGGCACTCTACCTTCTGAAGCTAACTTAATACCTTTATTCACCTGCGTAAAGATGAGAGATAGCCCATTTTTTTTTTATCAAAACTACAAAGTTCCCTCCAAGAAAGAAATGAATTGCGCAAATCCAGAAGAACTTACCGAAGAAAGTTTCTTAAACCTGTCCGCTAATCCCTTTCCAAGCTGAATAGCTTTCTTAGCTTTGGCTAATGCATCAAGAGACAAGTTTGAACTAGTTTGCCCGGAAGTTCTTCCATCTGTACTACCATGAACCTCATGAGATCTGACAATACTAACTCCCTTATTTTCATCCGTTGTGGATATTGAAGATACCTTAGTGAGCATGGTTTGACTAGGGGCCAAAGACGTCTCCGAAGCAACAGAAGTATGTGAAGTCACACCCTGCACATAACACAAAAAAGATACAAGAGCTTTTCAAAACACCATTCAAATCTATCTGAAGCTAAGCTAACAAAGAACACTAGAGGTTAGGCTTAGAAACTCACAATGGTGACGTCACTGGCTGCGTTCATAACCCTAGAACCCTCACTACTCACTTGCGCATCCACATCTTCAAACCTGCTTCTCCTCTCACCACCACCATCAGAAAATCTAGATCTCTTCTTCCCTTCCTTACTCCCATTCTCTTCATCTCTCTCTTTCCTCTTGCTCCTCGTTTCCTTATCTTTACTTCCTTCGTGATGCTTCTCCCTATCTCTACTCCCTTCCCTCTCGCCTCGCTCAACAGATCTCCCTCTGTCGCGACCTCGATCCTTGGCTCTATCTCTCTCATCCTCTCTATCGTCGCGCCTCGATGAACGGTGGTGATCTGAATCGCGACGCTTCGAATCTCCGTCGCGATGGCGGCGCCCGGCTTCACGTTCCGGCGAACGATCCGCGCTTGAGTCACGATCGTCTCTGTTGGTCCTGGAGTGTCTCTCCTTATCCATGGCGATTTAGGGTTTCTTCCTCACACTCGTAGTCTCCTCTTCTATTATAACCGGAAACCTCACAACCGGAATAAACCAGCGACTCTGCGTGAAAAGTAGAAATCGATAAGACTAGCGAAAGACTCTGGAATCGAATCAAAGGTATCGATCTGTCGCAGACCACTCGTCGAGCTTGCTTTATGGGCCCAAGCCCATTTCTCAAGTCCTCTTAATAGACACTGTTTATAACAACGACGAGGGTTGCTTTTCTTTAATCAACCACGAATCAGTCGGTTCAGTTGTACCAATTGGTTTGTCATGAATGATATAAAGTTACAAATGCATACTCTTATGAATAGTAAGTATATTTATTTCACCTGCTTTTGTACTTCTAACACTGCTCATCCGTGCGCTGAATCGTAGACACATAAGATGCGATAATGTCTGCCCAAGATGCGGATAATCGGATGAAACAATTGCACATGCAATTTTCCAATGCCCACCGGCTTTACAAGTGTGGGCCTTATCATCTGTCCCTTCCAGTGTAGCTTTATTCCCCTTGGAGAGCACTTATTCGAATATGGATTATCTGTTCTGGCGGAAGAAGAATATGTGTGGGCCAGAACTAGAAAGAGATCCTTTTCCTTGGTTGATATGGTACATTTGGAAGGCTCGTAATGATAAGTTGTTCAGAGGAATAGATAGGGATCCTTTGGAATTGGCCCGGTATGCAGAGAGTGAGTGTCTTGCCTGGTTCCAAGCGAATGAGCAGAATGTTGTGATTACACAAGAGGAAGAAGATACTGAGCAACAGGTCATAAGCCTTCGAGATATTTGCATGATAGATGGTTCTTGGACCTCTATGGACCAATTTTTCGGTTGTGGTTGGGTCTGGCTGAACGGCATGGGAAATAGTCATCTGATGGGGATGCGTAACGTGAGCAGAGTGGAGTCGGCTTTGCATTCGGAGCTGGAAGCGCTGCGGTGGGCAATGGAGAACATGCTTCAACATTCGCCATGTCAGAGCTTTGGGACATTGCAAGGATTTGTTGGCGATGCTCAAAGATCCACATGGATGGCCAAGCTTTTCGACGGAACTAGAGAGGATCTCGACACTACGGATTTGTTTCCCAGATTTTAAGACTTCTTATGTACCTCGAGCCTTAAATGCAACGTCTGATCATTTAGCTAAGACTGCCCGATCCTTTTATCGGGATCTCATGTATGTTGGTTGTTCTATTCCGGCCT